AACACTTAAAACACCCCTGTAAAAGTAAAGTTCTATATTTACAACGACAAAAATAACACTTATTGTGCTCTATTGACATTATTGAATAAAAATTAACAAAAAAAAATAATATAGAAAATTCGAGTTCTCGATTTAAGTTATCGATGATAGAACATTTTTAAAATGAATAATAATAGAAAATTAAAATGTCAAAGATGTTTACACAACCTTGTTTATGGCTGGAACATTTCGTTATATCAAATATATGTTATGTTTTAAGGCTATTAAACAAAACCATGAAATTTCTATTACCTTCTAGTCTGTTCTACGTCAAAAGGAATTAAACTCTCTCCAAATTCTGGAAAAGAAATTTTTGCAAAAGTTTATTTTTTCTCAATTGAAAACGTTATGTGCCACAAAATAATGGTTTCGCTCAGGTAATGTACTTACCTTTTAAAGAAAAATCGGCTGTTTTGCAGTAGACTTCAATACAAGCGCGAATCGAAGTTATTTTGGCCACAAACTAAAAAGACGCGAAGCCATCCAGTGTCTTCTATCTCACTCATGACACTCATTTAATTTGACTAAAATCAAATTATGGTGATTCTAAGTTGTTGTTTATTTTTTCTGTCTTATTTTCTTTTCTAGGGATTTAATTTTACATTTATTGTTTAAATCTGTCTGGAAAATTATAAAGGTCAAAAGCCGCTGATATCTTTCTTCTTGGAAAGATGGCTTGAGGAAAAGAAATATAATAAACCACATGTTATGGATTATGTATTAATTATCTTTACCTTCATCTGTGAATTATTTATTTGATTTTTTATATAAAGCATACAGAAACCGCATTAAGCAGGCACTAAAATCGTTCTCTTTATTTCCTTACTTGATGGAAAAACTAAATGTATAGCTCGAGAATTTTAATACGTCACACATACACGAAAAAGATAGACTGTCAGTTTGAAGATGAGTTTAGAACGGCAGGTTTGCGCACGTAATCTTCCAATAAATATTATTATCCTAAACTACACTATTCCAAAAACATTGATTATGTAATAATTACTTCAATAGACCATTTCCGAGTTCCAAGAAATCTCATTTTCAAAGCGAGGCTGGCTAAGTGCAAAACCTTTGTTGTGAAAACGAGTATTATTTGTAGAAGAATAAACATCATTTTCACATCATTGGCTCCACGCTAAGAGGAGGATGGAGGCAACAAGAAATATATATTCCCGAATGCAAAATCATCCTTGCTTCTTTTGTTCGATAATTTAACTTAAAGCTGATTAGATCCTTATTAGGATCCGGTCCTACTTTTTTATAACGTTGGATTCCTTTTTTCCAAAATTGAATTAGGAAATGGCCCATTTAGCACTTCAAAGAAAACTTCGAGGTCCAAATCAAGGTCCCTCTCAATCTCGTTCCCAGTCGCCCTCACCAAGTTCGGATTCGACGATCTTCTTCAACGTCTCATTTAATAATCCAATATATTTGGCAGCTTATTCCGTTCTGAACCTCGACCTTGTGGATAATTCTTTTTTCCTTTTTTTTTCTCTTTGACGCAGTTTCCAGGACTTTAACTCTCATAGTCTCCATGCTTTTAATTTTCGCGAGATCAAGGTCGTACAGAAAGCAGCGGTGAATTCTTGTTGTAATGTCAGTTAAAACTTTTATCGAAAACAACCACAGTTGACTTTGCATTCCGGTGTGCCTGATGGTTTTCAATGAGAGGGACCTTAAGTGGCTCTTTGGGTTTTGCAGGGTCAATACCTCCCAAGTTTGAGCATAAACTTCGTCGCCATTAACAAAGATTTGGAAAAACTACCACCACAGCTGTAGAGGATTAAGATGAACTTTGTTATGATCAGGGTTACAATGACATCGGAGTTGTCACAGCAACGAAATGACGCCATTACCTATCTTACTTGCAGCTGTATTTCTCGGTTCGTGATTGGATAAAACCCATAGGATGAAAATCAACCTCATCGAGCCCCCAGGGCGCTTTTCTCTGGCTTTGCCGGAAAAGTGCCCTGGGGACGAGGTTGGAGAAAAATTCCTCCTGTAAATTTGGCGCGCTGCAGGGGATAAAAGTCCTTCGCGCTGGGGCCAACTACCGGAACCGGAAATGACAAGGCGACGGAAACAGAATGAACTGTTACTGTCAACTTCTGGGCATTTTTTTCTGCTTGTCCTCGCACGTTTTCCGTTAAAAGCTCATTAGCTGCATATCTCCCCAGGATAAATGGATAAAGCAATTCTAAAGAATCTTTGTTCAACCACCTTACCCAAAGACGTTTTTGAGCGACGAAATCCAACCAGAAGTGTACATTTTGAATTCTTGGGCAGTGGTTTTGCTCAAATGTATGGGGAAATCGTCTCTGTAACAGTAAAGACACTTAGCAGTGTTAATTTAGTGGCGAAAAGGCCTCATTTCCTGTAGTCTTCTACACAGCCTTTTTTAGTGTCGTCCTCAACGTCGCGTGACGACACTAAAAATGGCTCTGTAGCAGATTACACTTCCGGTTGACGTTCGTCGCTTAAAAACGCCTGTCTGCAGAGACTTACATCACACAACAGTCCTTCCAAACAGTTGTTCTATTGTGTGCGACTCAGCAGAAAAAGAAACGTGAGAAATAAATACGCTTTCTATTTTCCTTTTTTAGCTTCGATCGTTTTGGGATTTCGGCGTCTCCTGAAACGCAAAAGGCAGTTTTTGTAGGCATTCTTCTTTCAAGTTTCTAGTTTGTTTTTAATCAATTGAGTTTTTTTGTACAATACTTATTGTTTGAAACTCCTTAAATCATTTTTCACGGTTACTATTTTACATATAGAGTCTTTGTAACTGTTATATTTTTTATGTACTTTTCGAAGTTTTAATTCGTAAATAGCTTTCCCAGAAGTCACTATTCTACTTACAAAATTTTTACAGTCATTCTTTGCCTTCATTTGCCTTCACTTGTCATATCGACAAATGCACAATACAAAAATCTATAATTACGGAAAAGGACGATTTATAGTAGGGTCGTCTCGTATGGATATATATTATTACCGTTTCTGATGAGTGAGCAAGTATGCACAGGATCCTAGGCTCCTAGTATGAAAGATATTTTTTTACACACAACTCTAAGCGACACTTTTATAGGCATAAATATATAGGCTTTTCATCCTAGACATCATAACTGACAGGAAGCGGACGACCAACATCCGTGTCACTTTTATATGGGCGTCCACCCCCCAGGAAGCATAAAGCATAGAACCACCCTTTCTTCTTCTCCTTCTTCTTCCTCTGTTTATTTTATTTTATTTATTTCTTTTATTATCTATTTATTGTGGCTATGTTATTTCTTTGATTGTTAATAGACCAGGAGCCCATGATCCGAAGCGAGCAACACTAATTCAGGACAAAATCGTTGCGTTTTCAAGGCTCGGTTTATTTTAGATATATTTTAGAGCCCTTTCTGCCGGGAACTTCTTGGAGGTCCGCTCCTTCTATGAGCGCATTCGAAGACAAAGAATACTGAACGTCATTAAGAGGTCAAAAATATTATTTTTAGGTCTGTAGGTTTTGCCGACTGGTTTGTAGGACTCCTTCTAAATTCACGCTAAAATCATTCTAAAAATAAACTGGTTGGTGAAAACGCCGCGACACGACTGCATGGAAGTTGATCGCTCCGGGTTATTGCCTCCTGCGGATACACCTCCTACTTCGTCAAAGCCTGAACTACAATCTCCCCCTTTCACAGTCCTCTATGTGGTCTTTATGTTGTTTCTTTTGTTTTCGAATGGATGAAGCTACAAACGTGTAAAATGAATATAATTGCGGGCGACCAGAGAAGCCCGCAAACCTGATCTCCAGGTTGCTATCATGCATACACGGTTAGTTTATAGCCAGCATTTCGGACTTCTAATAAGATCAAATTCCGGAATGGAATGCATAAAAAGCAATTTGATCACGCGCGTTTGGACTTTCTATCACTCGTTCTAGCGCGTTATTAAACGTGATCACGTGCGTTAATGTTTTCACCTATCACCGTTTTGACCTTCGATCAGAAGCTTCAGACACCCCCCGGGCGGGTACTCAAAAAATGTTTGTACGGCGAGGCTCCGCGCCGAGGTCCAACCCCTCACCCTTTTATATACCATTTTTCACGAAAAAAGTCCCCCTTTCGTATACCTTCTATCGACAAATGGTACCCCTTTCACATACCTTGTTTATATCTTTGCATCCTTTTTAACTGCGGTAAATGCACTGTCTTTTAAATAGGAATCAATCACAAAAATAAAAAGGTTTTCTCGACTTTATAAAGCGATAAAATTCATCTGTTAGGCTTTTTCACAGACCCAAATGACAGATTTTCCTACCCTTTTATATACTTCAACTAGTGAAATCCCTTACCTTTCATATACCTGAAGCATGAAAAAGATACCCCTATCAGGCGGAGCCTCCCTGTATAGGCCATTATAGGGACCCCCCGGGAGAAATCTTGTATCGATCTCGCCCGCACTCTCTATAAACGTTTGGATATTTTTAATACTATTTTTTAAGGGGACTGAAAGACAACAACCGGTACATTATGTAACTAGCATGTTCTGCGAACATTATATCAGTTCCCCTGACTAGCTGCTTGTCTAAGACACGGTGCAAAGACCATGGATGGTCTACCGAATGTTCGAATCTCTGGTGACAACGCTCCAAACGAATACACCTAGGCTCCAAGTTTACCAGAGGGTCCTCATTAGATTTATTCCATCCCAACAACCCTTACACAAGTTTGCCAGTCCCGCTTCACAGAATATTTTTATTTGCTAATCCCAATCCTGAACATACGCTTTAGAGTTCAGAACCTCCATACACGGTCAAATGTGAGGAGTAGGCTGCATGCGGTAGACACATGGCTGGTTACAAGTAGGTAGCGTTACGATGTAGACATTTCCCAAATCTTGCATCGTGAAAGTGCCAAATTTGTGTCCACCTTCAAATAATTAAAATCCTTGATCCTGAAAAACCTTCTGGGCAGTCTTTATTGGTCACGTGATGACACGTGTACTGCATTTACTGACCCGTGTTCAGTCGGTTCCTCGCTACCTGACCGACCTCGTGGGAGAATAATCCCCCGGTTTCCACTCAAAATTCCCCAGAGAGTGTGGCGAAACTTGTCATTGATAAATGTGTAAATGATAGGATTATAGATCACAGAGGCCTTGGCCATAAGCTCTGGGATTTCTGATTCCCCGGATGTCATCACCTGATGGCCTTTGACCGTCGCTGTGAGGCTAACAAAAGCGTAAGGCGACCAACTTAGCAGGAAGGCACCGATCGTGACCGCTGTCATCAGAATGGATTTGTTCTGGTATTTTCTGCGTTGGGCTTGAAGGAAAGCATTTCCGGTCATTGGTCTGCGTTTGAGTGTTCTTTTACGGATTAAAAAAAGAAAGAACAAAAATATGTCAGGTTAAATACGCCGCAAGAGGAAAAACCAAGAGAGGATTAAGGGAAGGGAGAAAATGATCGACCACTCAAGTTATTTTTAGTAACAGCAAGGCGGGAAATTCCAAATTTGAAACGTTGAATCTTTTGAGTGAATACCCACATTTTCATTGTTTTTTCTTTCAGTTTTAAATTACCCTTATTATGTTAATACAACCACAATTTAGCACTCAAAAACTTGAAAAATCGAAAAACTAAAAACATAATATTTAGAAAACTTGACAATTCTTACTCTGTTCATGATTATTGGTTAGGGTTACAGATCAAAAGATATGTAATGGTAGTAACTAAAAATAACTTACCAGCGATAATCTGTGGAAAAGGGCTAATATGGGGATTTACTCTCCTTACTCTTATCATCTCTTGGCTAAAAGGCATAATGAGGTCAGGTTGTATACGTACGGTGTAGAGGAAGGAAAAATCCATTTCTCTTAAGAGCCTTACTATTAAAATTAAGCCATTTAAGCAAAATTCTGTGTCACACCGGAAGACCCCAAAAAGTAGCCAACAAAAGAAAACAAAGCAATATAACATATACTAGTGGGAGTGGGTAGAGCTATTGGTTGGGTGCCCAAATTCGACCGGGTGATTCATTTAATCTCGGTTCGATTCCTCGCCGACCAACAGTCTGGCGAGACACTATTAGTTTTGAACCGTTAAGTGTCTCTTTACTCTCATGGAAACTATTTAAACGAAGTTTTTGGCAAAACCACCGCCCAAGAATGTGAAAAGTCCGCTTCCAGTTAACTTGCGTCGCTAAAAAACTCCTTTACTTAAGCTCCCTGTTATTCTCCCCCCCCCCGGGGGGGTAATCCCTTATAATGGCTAGAAAGGTATGTGCCGCCCAGTAGGGTATGGTTTTTGAGAGTCTCGATCCATAATTTCCGTATCATTTTTGCCCTTGTTGGCTCCGTGTTCCCGGTGTGATCCTTAGAAAGGGTACCTAAATTGTTTCAGCTGAAATTCAAGTGAAATTCAAACAAATTAACTGTTAAAACTTATCTGTCCCTTGGCGCGTTAGGAAAGCGATGTGTGTTGCCATTAAATTATTAGTGTTCGGTTTCCCATTGAACAGGGAGTTTTTCGGGTATCAACTTTCTTTTCTCTTATCCTTAAATAGGGACAGGGTTTTAAGCCCCGGGCGGCACATACCCGTCCGAAATTTATCGGAGTACACAACCCGGGTTTCATGCCTACCTGAAAGTCAAGGTGTAATACACAGCAATAATCACCAGCGGGGTAAGGAAGCCTACTACTATCAACACCGAGATGTATGCTTTACTGGCGACGTTTGGTGCCGTCCACTCGGGTGCGCAACTAAAACCGGCTTGACCGGGTACAAACCGGTTCCATCCAACCAAAGGCGGGAGCATGACAATGAATCCATAAAGCCAAGTGGAGGCAATGAGAAGAGTGATCTGTCTCTTGGGGACAACATTGTGTGCCGGTGGGAAGTTGCGTTTGACAGTTTGGTACACTACTCCACTCATAACCGTTAAGGTGGCGATGCAGGTCATACCCGAGAAACCGTTAGCAAAACCAGACCAAACACACAATGGGCTCTCGGGGAATAACAAATCACCGTTTAGGTTGCTTACGATGATCGCTGGGTAGCCAAACACGATAATGAACAGATCTGCGAGGGCTAAATTCACCATAAGTGGCGTGATACTCTTCATACGGTGCTCTCGTTGTCGAAGGACAAGAATAGTGAACACGTTGCCGAAAAAACCGATGATCAAAACGAAAAACATGATAACCCCATAAGCCATATATACTGACTGCCATCTGAAGGATGGAGAGCTGCTGGTGGTACTCAGTTGGATGGAACTCGTGCTTAAAGCCTCGGTCGTCATGTTTTAAAAGTTCCTGAAAGGAAAGAGACAGATGGCCTCATTTAACGGAAGTCGAACTCCGGAATCCAGGAAATACTGTTTTGCGATCCCGAATCCTAGAATTTTTTGCTTGTAAATTCAGGACCAGGGCTTCGGAATCCGGAATTACCGGTAACGATTGGAATCTGGAATTTAAATTCCACTGACAAGGAATCCGAAATCCAATTCATGGAATCCAGGATCCAAGACTGTCTTGGATTACCTTACATGGGGTGGCCTGATTCTCAGATGTCCCGAGGTTCTTTCGCGGTCCCTTTCGCTTCCCTCCCTCTCCCGTCTGATATACTCTGTGCGAAGTCCTGTTCATGACGTCAGAGCCATCGTCAATTTTCACCAATCAGAGCGCGTGTACCATATTTTGAGAAGTGTGGAATGTATGGAATGTAATTTCCCACACATTGAGTCAAATCAAAATGGCGATGTGGACGATGTGTAAGGTTTCGATTGAGCCGTGCAAAACTGGTTTGTTTACTTTTCCATGCTTCATTTCTTACGCACGTTGTGATTGGCTTTTCATATACTAAAGGGTGCTCTGACGTCATGAACACGACTTCGCACAGAGTATATCAGATGGGAGAGGGAGGAAGCGAAAGGGATCGCGAACGACCTCGGACGTCTGAGAATCAGGCTGTACATGGAGCTCTTGACCCTTGAAACCCTTATATCAAAATTGAGATTCTCATTTACTGTCCCTATACTTTTTCAATAGAAGTAATGGGGATTTTTGCTGAAATATCAATTAGACTCATCTTTCCTGATCATGTACTCAATTCTCATGACAACTCCGTTTTTCAAAGCATTGATGTTGCGAGGAGAAATTTCATGCTGATCACCCCAGGGGGGTGGCGGGTGGGGTATTCCGGATTTCAAGTGACAGGGATGTTCCAATGGGGGCAAAAATGAACACCCCCAAAAATCCCTTGGGCTTCAAATAAAACCCCCAAAAATACCAGGAACAAAATTTAACGCCCTAAAAATCCCATGCCGAATTTTCGGGCCATAAAAATTTCCAGAGAGGAATAAATGATATAACACCCCCAAAAATGCCTTCTTAAATCAAGCTACCCAAAAAATTACTTGCCAAAAGTTTCCTACCCCAAAAATCCCGAAATCCAAAATTTCAAACCCCCCAAAATCCTTCGATCATCCCTGTCACTTGAAATCCGGAGTACCCCCCCCCCCCGGGCTGATCACTCCTTGGGCTTAAAAGGTTAAGGGAAGATGGTATTTATTATTTTAAGGAGTTTTAACATGGGGGAAAGCTTGTAACTTCCCTTTGGATATGACTTTTTGAATAAAACTATTAAATGGATCTATTCCAATGCATCCTGAATATATTATGTACTGTACGTATATATGAGTGGTTTTGTCGAAAAATGAGGCGCACCATATATACCGCCAATCATATTACTCTATTTAGTATACTTTTTTTAATCAGTGTCTTGTTTCCCAGCTGAGATTAAACATTGACAGAGTATTCTGCTGAATTTTTTTTGTAGTAAGAATGATGTTAGTCAGTCCCAGAAGTATGCTGAATTCATAAATTACTGCAATCCTTATACTCATTCTCATTCAGCCTAGTTTTGAAAAAAGTGTTTTCCAAGACAGTGCCTTCTATTACAAAGTTCCTAGTTTAGAAGGATTCGATCAATCGCTGATATAAAATTGAATTACACAGTTTAGAGGTTATTGGTTTCTGAGACAATAGGCTGTTCAATACAAAAGCTTAAAACTAACACTTACTTTTTAAAAATAAGCCCTTCCTTCACTTGACTCAGACCAAGTGGATCGAGAACCTTCCAAATTTAAAGTATACTAAATAAAAACGCTTGCTTTAACCAATTTTCACTTTCCCCGAAACGAGAGCCACATTTTCTGAGAAGTTCACGCCTCCGTTAAAACACTTATCTCGCCGAAAAGACCAATTCCATTCTAAAAATGGTCGTCAATGTTAATAAATTAATACAAATGACGTTTTTGTTGTTTTGACCTGACCAATGGATAGCACTGTTCAAAGCACAGACGCTTGGATTTCTTTCTAGAAAGAAAACTTTCCGCTGCTTCCTGGTGTGAAAGCTGTTGCTATAAACATTACATTAAATGTGCGTGTATGAGTAAATACACGTGTTAATACAATTGTTTCGCGCGCACGTGGGCAAGAAGACCTCAGTTTCCTGTGAAACAATCACTACAATCTCTTACATTAGTCGTATGTTGACAAATCGTATGATTTCGATCAATTCAGGGTCTTGTTTCGCTACACAGCAGCTACGACTATGACACACATCTGTCAGTTGCAGTTGACCGACCGCTTACTTATTTTGGGTTTTACGGGACAAAAATTGAAAACGGCGGCCATTTTTTCTCTCGCACAAATTTCTGCACGTTTCTTGTCTCATTTCCATGTGATACAAGTTTTTTGTTGCCTTTAAGGACCACGTGATATGACACACGTTTTCTCGCTTCAAAGCCATGTGCCATATCACATGCCTTTTGATTTACGTCAAAACTATGTGATTTCAGAGACACGAATGAATTGGAATCTCTCGATCGCATGCACAAATCTGTGACTACTGACTAGTTCTTATTTTTGGGGAATTTTGAATTACTTAATGTTTCTGCTTGTTTGCTGTTTCCAAATTCGGACGTGAACTATTTTTTAAAACTCAAACTGAATTGGAATCTCGATCGCACGCACAAATCTGTGATTACAGACTAGTAGTAAAATTATTGTACCCTAAGGCAATATCTTCATATTTCATAGTTTTTTATTTTGTAGAATTTTGAATTATTTCTGTTTCTGTTTGTTTGCTCGGTTTAATGCACCGAATTCGGACGTGAACTATTTTTTAAAACTCAAACTTAATTGGAATCTCGATCGCACGCACAAATCTGTGATTACAGACTAGTACTAAAATTTTTGTATTCTAAGGCAACATTTTCGTATTTCATAGTTTTTGATTTTGTGGAATTTGAATTATTGCTATTTCTGTTTTTGTGCTGTTTAATACACCAAATTCGGACGTGAACTATTTTCTAAAACAACAATTTAAAATGTTTTCCGTTTGAAAATTCCAAAAGAAACGAACTTTCGACTTCCTGGCCTACAGTTTTGGACGGGTGAAATGAAATGAAAAAGGACGATACAAATTCTAATGAAAAATAGAAATTATATAATGGGAGCCTTTGGCAGCTTTTTCCATTCGTTCCCTTTTTCTGGTATCAAAAGACTTGCCTCTTTTGCAGTTTTAGCTTGTGCATCATCCGTTATTGTGCTTATTATCTGTAACCTCGGCCTTTATAAAGACAACAGTTTTTAAACCCGTTAAACTAAACAGTTTAAGTAAGCTTTGGCAAGTACTAGCCCCACAAAAAAACCGAGACACCTCCACCTACATGGCTACATATTTCTTGGAACTGGAAAAAAACATACAGTACTCTTGGACAATATTTCAACAAACCTTTTAAAATCGAATTGTTCTGTTTTAAAGACTGAATTTTTTGACGTTTTCATTGCTCTACTTGCATAGTTTTCTATTGCTAGTTTGGTTGCTATTCTCTCATGCAGTTATGCCATATTTCAGTCTTGGCAGCTCGAGCTAACTGTTGTCAGCTTATGCAAGTAGTCTTGTAGTGCATCAAATGACCTTTAAACAATTGGACAAAGATATGAACTCATTTCATTTTCTATATGAACGTACGAGTAGACCGTAATCAACAGCTTTTGAGTGATTTTTCTCAAACATTGTATTGACCGCTGAAAAATTTTATAAAGCTTTCTCAGCACCGATTCTCTCCTGCTCGTCGTAAACTTAAAAAAAAATTAACAAAAACGTTTCTAGAGTAGATACAGTGACTTTTGGTAAGGCCAGGAGAATACCAGCGAATTTATGTCGATACAGGGTAGTTACGTTGTATTTAAGTCTAAATCTTGGAAAATCTGCTACTTAACTATTGCATTCATGTTACTTACTATAAGTTGCAAAATCTCTGTCAATGCCAGTATCCAGTCGATAAACTCTTCTTACAGTTGAAAATAAGACGTAGTGCTACGCATTTCCTCGGTCACAACAAAGAGTTGAGTTTAAAAATCCGTGTTTCGTTTTCCTTTCTTTGTTTTATCTTTGTCGCACCTGCCTTGACAATTTTTCCCGCCCCCTAAAAGTAATTTCCCTCAACGTCTAGCTAATCCCTCAATTTTAGTTTTCTTTTGTTGTCTGCCAAAAAGGGATGATTTTAGAAACTGTTGAAAGGAATCGAGATCGCATACATTGTTTTGCAAGGAAAATTTCGAGTGGATTCATTTTACTATCTGAAGAAAACAATGAAAATAAATTAGCTTACCGAAGAGAATCGATGAACTGAATGTAAGCACTCAGACGCGGGCACGTATCATCACGAGCTTGGTCTAATGAGTTTCAATTATACGTTTCCATTTTACAATACTTAAAACGGTACCTAAGATATAAAATCTTGTATTATCTTGTTGAGCGAAAAGAATGACAGAAATATCGTTGTTTTATTAATTGCAAAAATTTTCAAGTAATTTGTGAACCCATTGTTTCATAAGTGTTTCGAACAACCTAAAAAATGCGTCTCCCGAGTATTGCACTTCTGTGGCGTTGTTTCATTTTATCGATATCTGTTTTTAAAACGTCAGAGGGATAAAAATTGGAGCTAAAATAAGAAGATTATAGTGAAACTTAAGTCGTTTGAACGGCTCGGCTGAACATTTGGAAAGAGTTCCTAAATCCATTTACAACCCGATTTAGTAAAAGAACGGCATACTGGTAAGAATTGTTTTGTGGCTTTTTCATTGTTGGGAAGCAGTAGTCTTTTATTAATGGTCAACTATTTCCGTTTTAAGCGATTGAAAAGTTCAGTATTTCGTTTAAGACGAGTTTTAAGCGGTTTGACGACCTGATATTTTTCTACCGCCCTGTAGTTTTTATGCTTCAGGTTTTTCCTTTTTTATTTCAGAATTGTTTCAAATTAATAAATCGTTCTTATGTGTGAACAAAAGCGCTATCCAGTCAAGTCCGGTATTGTTTTCGTGCCTGCGCAGCTGAGAGCAATCAGCAGGTATAGTGTGAACTGACAGCCTAAGACGGCGAACGAGGACGACGACGGCTACGAAAACGTCACTTATAAGTGAATTTGCGCTGCCTCAAACTTAATCTCGCTTATTCCATCTCGTTTATTTCGTCAAATGTTGGCAAATTGTTTTGGAGTTGAATTCTAAAGGACTCCGTCAAAGTTCCGGAAAAAAAAAAAGAAAGTTGTCAGTTGTCTTTTGTTCTCGCCCTCGACAAAACGTGAAAATCAGGCAGTTTCACGTTGTAGTCGTGCAACGACGGAAGAGAAATGTATAAAAAAACGTGATGCACGTGCAAAGTTGTCGTTTTGCTTGTCTTTGCCGGACAGGTTCTGTGCCACACTTTGATGCAGTATGAACAGGAATTCGGATCGTAGAGGAAGTGAATAAGTAGGAGTGAAGACGGGAATACACTGAGTCGGCTGAGACGGAAGAGAGTGGATTTAGTTAAACAAGCCCCCCGGGGAAGGGGGGGAGTACAAATGTTTATAAGGGGAGCCTCCGCCCCGAGGTCTAACCCCTTACCCTTTTATATACCATTTTTCACAAATGGTAACCCCTTTCACATACCTTGTTTAGAACTTTGCACCCCTTTTAACTGCTGTAAATGCACTGTCTCTTAAATGGGACTCAATCACAAAAATAGAACGTTTTTTCGACTATATAAAGCCATGAAATTTATCCCAACGAGTGAAATCTCTACCCTTTCATATACCTGAAGCCTGACAAGGTACCCCTTTCCGGCGGAGGCTCCCCGTATAGGCCATCATAGGAAGTACCCCCTTGGGTCTCTCGGCCAACCGCTCCGGCATGATGTTTGATGTGTGTGAATGACTTGCCCCAGTTCTGTGCCGACTTGCTGTTCATGATATAATGGATAGCTTTTCGTATCGGCACGAAAAGCTACTGCCTTCAAACTACTGTTTTATCGACGTTCTCGTTGAAGTCGCTATCGTCGGAAGGTAGCCAACGAACGCTAACAGCCAAAACCACTCAGTGGTCAAGAAAACTCGAGTTATTTAAAGCATGGCTCCTCGCTCCATTTTGGGCTTTTATCAATTTTTTTGTTTTGTCTGCCGTCTCCTTCATTTTCACTTAAACATATGTGCTTAAAATGGGAACCATTTTTGGAGCTCACACTGTGCCTCTTAAGGTCACGTGACCAGCCACACCCATAATTATGCAAAATTTAGTATTTTCAGATTACGCCATGAAAATGACTGTTGAAGTTTCCGGTTATTTTTCCATAGTGTTAAGTTTAAAGTCATTTGAGTCTACTTAGACGGGGAATTGAAAAATACTTTATTCCTATGTAATTATCAAATGTTTTCTCCTCGACCCAGTCCCCCTCTCAACTGGAAACGTTATAGTTCACTTAAAACAAATAATTTTGAAAAACCCCGATTAATTCCATAAACCTTGTGTTAATAGTCATTGAAAGAAAACAAAACAAATCACAACTAGTATTTGTAAAAATGTCGTAAAATTGGACCGAACTAAATGGTAAAAAATGGGCGTGACAGGTCACGTGACTAAGACAGCTCATTAGTGAAGAAGTAATTAAAGTAGTTAATTAAGAAGTATTGACCGCATACAAAGTTTCAAGTCGAAAAGTTAAATCTCCTTTAAACTAGAGCACCCCCCTACACATTTCAAGATACCAATTCCTTAAAATATAATTCACCCGAGAAGTCTTTAACAAGAGTACAAGTAGTATTGAATTCCTGTACCGCAGTTAAATGAAGTCATCGTGAAATGGCGTACTTGCCTTCTATATGACAATCATTCAATCC